CCTGCAGCTTTGCCTGAACAAACAGCAATATGAACATTAAACACTGCGGTCAAGGGGAGAGAGGGAGCAAGCAAGTGAGGATAGGAAGAATCGTGGCTCCATACAGGAGTGACTTACCATTTTACCGTTGTTGAGCGTGCGGATTTGATCCAGTTGACTGACAGCACGTTGTAGCCGAGCCTGGAGTTCTGCTCCTTTGGTCATTGATGCACTCGAAGCGGAAATTAGTTGCCTCTCCAGAGTATTCAGCAACTTCTCTGCCTCATTCTTCCGCACGTCTACGAGGTCCATCTCCGTTCGAAGACTCTGAATAAGTGGGGACAAGGCCGACTTCGAGAGTGGAAAGGCGCCACTCTTGGCGATCGGCGCGTGCGAAGCAGACCGCTCGAGATCCACCCATGCCTAGCCCACACATAACACGAACATTAGGGTTGCAGATAGGGACAGTAAGATAAGAGTAAATCAAAAATCCTTTAGGACAACTTTGAAGCTTTTGAGAGGCAGGGCCAGTGAGCAGGCTTATCTGTTATATACTCTAACATTAATCATAAAGCCTGGCATTGGAACTATAAGGGTGAAGAATTGCCACGCACCTGAAGTTTTTGCACCTGCTGTTCTACTTCATCGAAAGCCTTCCGTTCACTTTCAGAAGGCGGTTTTAGCCCGGGTCGCATTTGTTCCAACTGGGTACCAGCCTGAAGAGTATCCAACAACTGAGTTCGTGGATCCCGAGGAGAGGCGAAAGACTGCTTTTCTACTTGACTATACGACTGTCCCGCGGGTATCGGACGATAGGAAGTATTTAAGCCAATTTTCTGCAAAATAAACAGTCAAATTAACCATAACTCTTAGTAGATATGAGAACATATCTCTATATATCTCGAAGGGATGCGGAAGATGAGGAAAATTCACAGAAGAGGGAGCTGTTTGAGTAAAATTTGTACACTGAATTTTAACAAAATCTCCCAATCACGTCGATATTTTCGATATTATAAAACAACTGGGTAATAGTATATCAAAGGTACTACCACGGAAGCCAAGACCCTCAGAATTCTGTAATACGGGACTTGTGGTAATGATAATTTATTAATTTTTTAATTTAATTAATGAGCAGTGGGTGACTAAAATACAGGGTCCGGGAATCCTAGATTACATTTCCTCCTTTCAGAAGAGTACCTGGGAGTACTTCCTTCAGCTGTGCCCAGTGGGGAAAGTCGAAACACGGCAAACAGAAACGCAAGTGCATTTGCGATTTATGAAAAGTTCCCGTACTCTCTGTCTAGCAAACTTCCGTCGAAAGGTGCAGGATACTGTTCGCCCAGCTGCATTATCGTCATACTGCTAAGTAGTATTCAGAAATTCCGGCAAAAGAAGAAGCGGAATGATTGCGAATCAGGATGACTACGTTTGAAATGTTCGTCCTCCATGAACCAAATTTCCAACTGCTAGTCAAAGGCACAGCAAATATTGCATTTCAAATAGTATTGCAGTCTAATTAGGCTAAATTCGGTGCACCGGAACCTACGTCAGAATAGAGGAGGTCAGTACGACTGGGGTCCAGCTGAGCACTCCGGCCGGGGATGGTCGCAGTAGATGGTATAGGGCCGGAGGTCAATGTGTTGTCGGTACTTTCCCTCGCGCCCTTGTCGGAAACTGCCACACCCGCCGTCCTCAAACGTTCCTCCAGTCGCGCCTCAAGGTCTAGCAGGCTGCGTCTCCGCTCACCGAGCTGGCGGAAGGAAGGAAAGAGACGAAGAGGGGATTTACCTCGTGCATTTAGCAAAACGGAAGTTTGATAATCGAAAAGTTAAGGGGGGCTATAATTGCCCTACTGGTCTGTGCTCAGCTTGCAGCAACCAACCCAAAGCTCGACGATCTGAGGCTTGAACCCCAGTCCAGTCATGGGCGCAGGCTCGCTTGACTGTGATCGCAGAGACTTAAGGTCACGTAGCAGTGGCACTCACTGATATAGCTCCAATACCGGACCAAAAAATATCATCTCATTGTGGCTTGTAGCTGCAACTAAGACCTCCTGCAGATGGAGCAGCAAGGGGTCGGTAACCGGTAGATATTATCCAGAAAAACCGGTGAGATTGGAAGGGTTACCTCTGGTTTAATTACTGTATTTTAGTGAGGCGTGCCAAAGTCAAACCGGAACAAAATGACCCGTTTCTGCTA